CGCGTCGTACCGAGCGCGTCGAGACCGTGTCCTGATGTGATCTGCACGGGTGAGTCACTTCTGTGTCAAAGCACAAAGGAGCGACGTGTGATCTGTGCAGAGCTTGATCTCCGATCTCAGCTGCCTCTGCGCGTCCTGGGGAGGTACATTTGTTGCGCACCGGAGACGACTCGACGCCGCTGAGATCGGAGATCAAGCTCTGCACAGATCACACGTCGCTCCTTTGTGCTTTGACCCCGAAGTGACTCACCCGTGCAGATCACATCAGGACACGGTCTCGACGCGCTCGGTACGACGCCTGCGACCCGTCTCGGGTCAGGTGGCTTGACGCTCATCGCGCCTGCCAGCGCTGCCGTGCAGGTTGCCACGACGAGGTCGAGCACGCTTCTATACGCTGACCAGCCTTTCTTTTTGAGAGCGCCTTCGTTGTTAATAGTACAAACCCAATGGTCCTCTGCGAGCGGTCCTTCGTTGCAGTCGCACACACGCACACGCCACACCGCACCGCGCGCCCGCCCACCGCCCCGCCCAGGCGGGAAAGAGATGAGGGGATGGGACAGCAAAGGAGGAACCCCAAACACGTATGGGAGGGTTCAGTAATGCGCCACGCTGCCCGGCGTCTCTCACTTTCCGGGACAGCCCCGCCCTTGTGAGGCAGGAAAGTGACGGCTACCCCGTACGCCCTGGTGCTGCTACCCCGACGCCGACCGCCCATTCCCCCCTCCTCGTTCCCCCCTCGAATGCTCTGGACCCCGACAAGCCGCCCGACGTCGGGCCTCTGCCCCGCACGCTCCCGCCCCTCTGCCCCTCACACACACCCAGGCCCGACATGCACATACAAGACAAACCCGGCGTCCTGCTCTCAAAAGAAAAGAAAAAATGGGAAGGAGGAGACCAGCGGGGGAGACTCCCCGCCTATGCAACACCCCAGAGAGGGGCTGCCATCGCCGAAGCTGTGCCTAAGCATAACTCCCAAACCCGCAGCGGCCCGGGGGGCCTTGGGGGCAGCCTGCCGGACCGCTGTTGCACGGGGCCAAGCCCCAGAAGATGAGCGTAGTTGATGGATCGGGCTGTCGACCGTGCCTCCCCTCTTTTCGTCAGAGTGGGACCTACGCCGCGCCGGGTAAGGGGCGCGCCCGGTCCTCGACGGAGCCGCGCGCCCCAAACGACCCAGGCGGCGAGTAGTCGTCCTCGAACCTTCGACTCGTAGTCGCCCGTGGTCAGCGCCCCTCCCCCCTCGCCCGTCCCTACTCGTACTGCTCTCGAGGCGCCCGCGGCATCTCACCGCCCATCTTCGGCCACGCGTTGTAGTCAAAGATGGCGGCGTTGCGCCTCGCGACGATGGCCGAGTGCACTTGCAGGAAGCGCTTGCGCTCGCTACTGACCCGCCATCGTTCGCTGTCGGAGGACGCCTTAGCGGCCTTGATGTCGAAGTTGGTGTTGAACCACGTCGCCGCCTCGTGCCCGATGCCGCCGCGCGTGCTCGCCGCCCACGTCATAAAGTCGCAGTTTTTGGCGTCGCACGCCGCTGCCTTGGCCTTCCGCTTCGTCGCCTCAGCGTAGTCGGTGGCTAGGCGCTTGCCGCTCGCCAGCGGGCGCAGCTTGTCATGGTGCACCGCGGTGACGCACGTGCCGTCGTACACCACGGCGCGCGCCGACTCTGCATAGTTGCCGAAGACGCCGTCGCCCCTCTGGTACGGGTTGGTGTCCGGATCGTGCGCCCGCGTCGGGTCCCTGCAGCCGAGCCTCACCTCCATGACCTTTGCCGAGGCGCCGAAGGCGCGGGCGACGTTCGTGACGTGGGTGTTGAGGGATGTGTGCCCCGTGGCCAGCCAGCCGCCGTAGTTGCACCCATCCCAGTGCGTGCCGTTGAGGTGCTCGAAGAGCGACAGCGTGCGCGGCACTCGCGCGTCGCCGATGTCGCACGGGACGCATCCCGTTAGCCTCGTGCGGTGGTAGATGCACACCGAGTTAGGGCCCACGCCGACGCAGCGCGTGGCGAGGGTGATGGCGCCCTTGGGGTGGTTGAGGTAGCCCTGCGCCTCGTGGAGCCACGCCTTGTCGTTCAGCTCGACGTCCTTGTGGACGACGTCGATGCCGAGCACCGCGCCCGCCCCGAGTTGCTTCGTCGAGCGGAAGTGCGCTCGCGTCGCCGGGTGCACCTTCGGGTCGTTGACGATGGCGTCGAACATGTCTTGCTGCAGGGCGTTGTTGGCGACGTGCTGGAAGTGGCGCCCCGAGACCTGTTCGATCCCCTTGTAGTCGACGGAGCCGTCGTCCGCGACGATCTTACGCCGCGCAAACTTGCGCGACAAACTTGCGACCTCTGTCCCTCGTATTCACCCCAGATTTTGCCCTATCCAGGCTCACCCGGTACCGCGAGCGGCGAGCCGCGCCAAGTTTGCTCCATTTCCGACAAGTTCATCCCGCCCGAACGCCGATCTTCGGCCGCCTGGAGGCCCAGGACGGGGCTCGGGACCGGCCAGGTGTGGATTCTCCTCGGCGCTGCGGTGTATCTGCGCGCCCATGGCGCGTTCAGGGGTGCGTCTGAGGCGTGTAGACTGCGGGGCGCCGCGATAGCGCGGCGCCGACGATTGTGTCAGCTCACTGTCACACCGTCGACACGGTCACAGTGTGTGTGCAGTGCGTCCACTCCGGCGACCGTGACGCCGTCGGTTCTCGCCTATACCGGCTAGTGTGGAGCTCTCAGTGTGGTTGCGTGTTGTACTAGTGATGCTGCACTAGGCGGCCCGTTTTAGCAAAAACCAGATACCAAATCGCGTGTGGTCGTCGAAAAACCGCATCTTCGCCCGTCTGGGACCTCTTCGTACGGGTCCCAAAACCGCTCCTTAACGACGGCTA